AGAGAGCAGTTTTCCATGCGTTCTGAGTTGTTATTTGTAAACACTTTAAAAACAGTCGCTGGCGATCGGGTGGATTTTAATAGGTTAGCTAAATGAAATAGGTTGAAAAACAAGCAAATCCTTTTGGTGTGAGATAAATATTATACATGCAGAACTTAAATGATATAACTTATAAAGGTTATGCTTTTAAAGATAAAATTAAATACTTGTGATTAGGTTACCTCTGCCCATTAATCTCTTGTTTTGCAAAATAAAGTGAAATATTATCCCAGCAGGCAGCAGGACCATCATCTAGATACTAAACGTTTGACCTTTTTATATTATTACAACAATTTCAAAATAAATTTGCAAAAGTAAGAACCTATCAGTAAATATATTTCACAGGAATTAATAAGCTTGTTTATCTATTTTGAACAAGATCTATTTTATGCCTTACAGAATAATAACGCTACTATAAAAAGTTCAGTTTAGGCAACTGGATGTAAACTTTTTACATCTTTTAATTTGTTTTCTAAAGCTCTGTCTGTGGTGAGGAGTTTTACCTCTTAACCATGACCCTAATCTTTAGCTTCATGCAGATATTCAAACGTATATTAATGTGATGCATGTCTTTAAACTGAATGGGCCAGGGGTTATAGTCATTTTTGCACTGCAAAAACTGTAAATCTAAGTAAATATTTCTTAAAACAAATGTATTTCTTGAATTACACTGCAAAAATGATCTATAAATAAGTAAAAATGTCTTAAATTAAGTGTATTTACCCTTAATTTGAGTGGGTAAATGAGATAGTTTGCCAATGGAATGAGTAATTTTACTCTTAAAATAAGATAATTACATAATATGCACTTGAAATAAGGCAATGCAATTGTTTTTTTCTTATTTTAAGTGTAAATTGTCTTGTTCCATTGCCAAAATGTTTCTTTTACCTCCTCAATTCAAGAACAAATGCACTTATTTTAAGAAAAAATGACTTATATAGATTTAGTTTTTGCAGTGTAAGCAGGTAAGAGAGACACTTTGCTAATGGAATAAGAACATTTACATTTAAAATAAGAAAACAAAATACTGCAGTCTCTTTGTTCAAGTGCATAATGTCTAATTATCTTGTTTTAAGGGTAAAAATGCTCATTCCATCAGCAGGTCATCTTATTTTCCTGCTCAAATTTAAGGTAAATACTCTTGTTTTAGGAAATGTTCACTCATTTTCAGAACGTTTTTGCAGTGCGGGGGTTAATCAATATCTAGATAAGTAATTTTTTTTCTAAAATAAGTGCATTTTTTCCTGAATTGAGTAGGTAAAGTTGACATTATGCCAACGGAACAAGACAATTTACACGTAAAATAAGAAAACAATTGCATTGTCTAATTTCAAGTTCAAATTATCTAACGATCTTATTTCAAGGGTAAATACTCTTAATTTCTAGATTGATCTAGAAGTAAGTAAAAATGTTCTTAAATGAAGTGTATTTACCCTTAAACTGAGCAGGTAAATAAGACCATTTCCCAATGGAAATAGTATTTTTCTCTTGAAATAAGATTATTATGTAATTTGCACTTGAAATTAGACAATGCAATTGTTTTTTTTTCTTATTTTGAATGTAAATTGTCTTGTTCTATCAGCAAAGTGTCTCATTTAACTCGCCAAGTCAAGAAAGATTCACTTATTTTAAGAAAAGTAGATTTCTTTCTTTGCAGCGTGGGCTGTGATTAGTAAAGCCGTCATTAATGATGTTATTAACAAACAGAGAGTTTTTCCCAGACATGTTTCTACCTTTGGAACATCTTATCCTAGAAAAAATACCTTTGAACTAAAACGTTTAAAAAGAGGAAAATAAAGGTTGCAGTATCAAATGTCATTAATGGTTTTGTTAGAGATCTGAGTCAGAGCTCACCTGTGTGTCAGGTGTCTGGTTTCTGCGTGGCTCCGCCCCCCTGAGTCCCTCTGCGCTCCTAGAAGCGCAGTTTGACGCGCAGCGGATCAGAGCTCACAGTTTGATTCCAGCAGGGAACGGAACAGGACATCTCCTCTCCTCCTCTCTGCTGCAGCCATGAGTATGTTGACCCCAGAAAACACGTTTCTGTCTTCCTTACAGCCCCACACCCCATCCACCACTTATGCGCTCCCGTCGGACAACCAGCTCGGCAATGGGAGCACCATGGCCGACGAGCAGCTGAGGAGCCGGCGGGTCCAGGAGCAGGTCAAGATGAAGCTGGCGGAGAAATCCACACTTCCGCGTCAGAACGGAGCGGCCTCTCATTACGCCATGTCAGGTAAAGAGCAGAACGCTTTCATTTTAAACCTGATCAAAACGCAGTGGCATCAGAGCTGCTAGAGGGGAAAAACTGTAAAAAACTGTAAAAAAACAAAACAAAAAAACTGTAAAAAAAACAAAAAAAACAACTGTAAGAAACAAAACAAAAAAAAAAAACTGTAAAAAAACTGTAAAAAACAGTAAGAAACTGTAAAAAAAAAAACTGTAAAAAAAATAAACTGTAAAAAACAAAAAAAACTGTAAAAACTGTAAAAAACTGTAAGAAACAAAACAAAAAAAATGTAAAAAAAAGAGACAGGTGTGGACCAGGGGCGTAGCCAGGTATTTGGGGCCCCATGAAAGACACTGATATTGGTGTGGCTGCTTCAGGCTGCTCATGAGAATTATCAACATTTTAATGGTAGAAAATATATTTATGGTATATTATAATATTTTAATGGTATAAAAATCTATTTATATATTAAATATATTTATTTAAATTAAACAAAAAAGACTGCAGTCTCTTATTTCAAGTGCAAAATATGTTATTATTTTATTTTAAGGGTAAAAATGCTCATCTACGGAAGAGGATTAGGGCCAGTGGGGAAAAAAAATAGTTAACTGATTTTTTTGTTTTATTTCAGTTTAACATGGGAAAAAGTCCGAATTCGGACTTTTTCCCATGTTAAACTGAAATAAAATTAAAAAATCAGTTAACTTTTTTATTTTCCACTGGCCCTAATCCTCTTCCGTACTCATCTTCTTACTTTTACTCTTGTTTTAAGAAATATTTACTCATTTTCAGAACATGTTTGCAGTGTGGGGGTTTAACGTAATGGGCTCCGATTAGGAGAGCCCTCATTAATGATGTTGATATTGGTGTGGCTGCTTCAAGCTGATCAAGTTTATAGATGTCTTTTAGTGTTGGTAATGGTATAAAAAGCTTTTCATATATTCAGTATCGTCATGCTTTGTTTCGCTGTTTACTGCTGAAAAATGAGGAAGAACACAAAGATCATTTATCTCACTGCAGTATTTTCATTTTACAGTTGAAAAAGCAGGACAAATCTTTTCTAGTTCATTTGGGGCCCCTTAAGTTAAGGGCCCTTAGATTCATCCTAACTTCCCCCCCCACTATGACACCCCTGGGTGTGGAAATCATTATCTGACTGCAGAGCTGAACTGATGACCAATGATGGCACTTTTATGAGGCTGTATAAAGAAGCTATGAGTCATTTTATTTTCAGTGAGGTTGTAGGTTTAAAAAAAAAAGAAAAGTTGAAAAGAAAGTTGATGGTCCACTTTGTGAAATTAAAACATATAAAAACAAAAAAACCTCCTTCCAGAGTTGTTTTGTGACAAACTCACTAAAGAGGCTGTCAATCATTGCATAAGATCTGACCTAAAAGAAATTAGCATTAAAGTTGGGCTCTATTGATGTCACACTTTAAAAAAACATTTTATGCATTTTATGCAATCAGGCTCCAGAGAAGCATGTCCTAACAGGACTGGTTACTATGGTGACTGCAGCTAGTTTTAATGAGATGCATCCGCTAAAATATTCAAATTTATGCTTTAATCTGAAATACTTTCAGGTAGGGCTGGGCCATGTGGCTTAAACCAACAGATAAATAGATTTTTCCAAAATAAAAATGAAAAATGTGAGGTGACCCTAATTTAAAGGGTGTCAAACAACCATTTTTCCCAACAAACAATGAAAATTCAACAAACTAAATGTTTTTTGCTGCTGGTATCAGACAGGGAGCTAGTTTATCAGATATACGTACACCTCTAAGAAAAAAGCAATGAACTGATGTCCCTCTATGGAAGCCAAAGACGTGGATTAGTTTAAAAAATCCCGACTTTCCAAACTTTAAATCTGCATATGCAAATTTTATTGATGAATTTCCCAGTCCTACCTACAGGTAGTTAAACACTCACTGGAAAAATTATATAGAAATAAGTACAAATTTCTTCATTAGCATTTACCCTTAATTTGAGCAGGTATATAAGATGATCCCCCAATGGAATGAGTATTTTTACTCTTAAAAGAATATATTTAAATAAAATGCACTTAAAATAACACAATGCTATTGTGTTTTCTTATTTTAAATGTAAATTGTCTTTTTCCATTGGAAAAATGTCTCTTTTTCCTCCTCAATTCAAGAATAAATGCAAAATTATGATACTGCTACTTAAATTTTGCAAAATCAAAAATGTACTTATTAATAAACTGACTGTTTTAGGGCCATATTCTTTTTTTTTTAAACAATTTTCAGAGCTTTTGCAATAAAAGTGCTAATTGGGTGTGCATCCAGTGTGGTTGTGCATTGCAATTAAAACATGATGCTGTTGTGAAATGATTGTAGTATTTCAGTCGGGGGTAATTGTTGTACGAATGCGATGTAGCATCCAGGGTATAATAATTCCAGAAAAAGTAAAGAACAATCCGCTGGACTTTGTCTCCAAGTTTGAAGACGTTTCTCTTCCCGTCCATGAAGCTTTTTTTAGTTGGACTACTGTATAAAACCTGGAACTCAACACTATTCCTGACATTTGAATTGAAAAAGCTTCCTGGATGGGAAGAGAAACGTCTTCAAACTTGGAAACAAAGTCCAGTGGATTGTTGTTGTGTTTTTTTTAATTTTTTTGAAATAAGCAGTTTGAGCCCCTGTTTAAGGTTAAAGTGTTTATGACAAAAAACTGCCAGCACAGCTCTTTTTGTTAATGAATCATCTGTGACACTTCTTAAAAGAATGTTGCACGTTTTTGCCTGATAAATTGTCAAAAAGATGTAAAAATGTTCGAGTCATTGATGGGAAATGTTCTGAGCATTTATTTATAGGTCAATTCAACATTTTATCCAGTCTTTTGTAATGCTGTTTTACTTTCAGATAATCTTCAGTGTTCATTAAGGGAATGAAGACAAGCTGTGTTTTGTATTTTTCCTTTTAAACAAGCAACAGCTGATCAGTTGTTGAAGCAGGGATAAGGGTTTTGTTGTTGGATTTGAATTCTCTTCTGATCTGCAAACGGACTCAGATCAGTAAATACTGCAGAAGTAAAACTCAAATGTCTCCTTTGGTTTCCTGCATTGTTGTTACTGCCTCATTCCTGGTTAGTTTTAAAGTTAAACAGCCGTAATTAATGGCTTATCTATGCTTTCTTATCATTAGGTTTCTGGTTTTGGCAGCTGTGTAGTTTACGTTTGTATAATAAACAGAGGTATTAAAGTTTTCTACCTTCTAAATGACTTTGCACTCAGGTCCAAAGTTGCTCTGGCCTTTAAATCGTTTTCCTTTCTCATTCGTTTCAAAGGCATTTTAAAAAATTCAGCTTTAGAAAGGAGCTTTTTTTCTGACTTTAGCTCTTCTTCATTAATTCATGTTAATTTTGAATCAGGCCTTTGGGGAAATTTTTCTTTGTCCCCCTGCTGCACTTTAACAGTATGTCTTGTTTCTGCACATGACAAGTAGTTAATGTGTAACAGGCCTCAACAAGCGCTGCTTTCATAAAGTTTCCTGTGTGAGAAAGAGTCTGAGCTTTGAGTTTGCTTCCAGAAATGGGGGCTCTTGTTTTCAGAAACACCTGTTATCAAAACATTATACCTGCTTAAACTCTGCCTGTCTAAGTGTCATTGTTTCCAAGCAGTGGTGAGAACCTCCAGCAACGGATTGGAAGGTTTCCAGAGTGCATTAAATCACTATATGTGTCATTAATGCATCATTTTTTGCATTTTTTGAGCTGAATGTGTCAGAGGCGGCGATCGGCTGCTGTCTGCGCCTCGTATACCTGCCTGTTGCTACCTGCTAAGTCCTGTGCGTCATCGTACTCAGCCAACAAGAAGAGAACAAGCAGAACACCGTGACATTCGGCTTCTGTCGATGTGACCTGTAGACTCAGGGTTGTACGGATGCAGAATAGGAGCCCTTTACTCGCTCTTCTGGTTTTAGCTTTTTCCCCAGAGGCGCAGAACGTCCCCGCCTCAGCAGCCCGACATTCTGCTCTAGCTGCCTGGTTTAAAAAAAACAATCTCAAACAGACATTTGACAGGTCTGCCTAAATGCTGTTGTCCTCCATTCTTTCAGCTGAAATATACGGCACAATGATTGCCATTTTTAAACCACCTCGGGAGGCAAACATATGGTTAATGTGAGAATTTATCAGCCGTTGATTGAAACTTGTGCAAACCAAATGTCTCGCTGAGCAGAATGTTGTCATTTTAGTGGTTTGTGGCTTTGGAGGACTTGGAAATGAATGTGCAAGTGTTTGCAAATGGGAAAAACAAAAACACACAGAGGAATCTGAAAGGAATGCATTTCCTTCCGTATCGCAGTATTCTGCAGCTGTATTCTGTATCAGTATATCAGAAAATATATACAAATATACATATATTATACATTTACAGATAATCAGAGAGTCTACGGTTATGGAACGTATTATCTGCATGCTAATGTACAATGATATACTTATATATATACTTATATATATATATATATATATATATATATATGTATGTGTATATATATATATATGTATGTATATAGATAGATATCAGTATATACTTCAGGTGTTTCAGGGTGTGTTTTAGTTGGCCTGTAAAACGCTGACGCTATCAGGTACATGGGGCGTTGTCAGGGTTGGGCTCGGGTCACGTCAGAGTATGTGTCAATCATTCTCTGTCTCCAACAACTGGTTTCTTTAATCTCTGCACCTGAGGTGATGTGGAAGGCCCTCAGTACGCAGATGAGAAGTGGAAAAACAGCCGCTTCTCAGGCACGACCTGAATGCACACGTCTGGGACAGTAATAACACATGCATTGCTGCAAAGGCACACAGACAGCTTTTTTTATATGCTTCTCCTTTTTCTGTCAGCACCATATCAGTTTATCTCACTTCAGCGTTACTTTGCTCAATAAACCAAACTGGTTTGAGTGTTTTTAAACACCAGAGTCATAGATTCCCCAATTTGAATTGTATTATTTTCATCTTTTTTAGAATGTAGTTCAGGCTTTTGTTAAAGAGTCCTTTAAATGTTCAAGATTGTTTTTTTTCCAATTATATCTAAAAAAAAAAACCCGCTTTGTTGCAAACTTGTAGGCCTGCTTGACATGCAGGGAAGTGGTAATGGAAACAGGAATGTATTAGGATGTTCTCTGCTCTTAGTGAGGCAAATGTGTAACTCTACAAGATGCAAATCCTGCCTTTTTTTTAGCATTATTAGCTGGTTTTATTTTTGCAGTTAGACCAAACATTTCCTTGGAGGACACTTGAGTTTAGATGAACATGCAGTAGTCTAGTTGTAAAAGAAAAAGGAAAGGGGATGGTGGAATGTATTTGTTTATTTTAGAATCATGCATAGGCTAATTAATATAATATATTAATATAAAGCTCTATGCATGGGCTGGTTGCTCTGCCCCTGCATAGGTAGTATGGCTATCACTGCCCCTACATAGGTAGTATGGCTATCACTGCCCCTACATAGTTAGCATGGCTATCACTGCCCCTACATAG